TTCTCAGAGCAAGTGGGGCTGGTGGTGTTTTTGGAACTCGGATGGACCTGCGGAACTTGCATCTGCCTTGGGCCTGGAGCCTGGCCCAGTGGGGCTTTCTTCAGACCAAGGCAAGGGTCCCATATGCTGGAGCTCCCAGCACGCAGGCCTACATGTCAGCTGGCTACAGGCAGCAAAGGGGCATCAGGCAGCGCTGTCTGTCTTCAGCTAGTGCTGAGGGAGCTGGGAGCAGCTTTCTTCTCTGTGAGGTGGGGGACATCCTGCCTCTGCTCTCCCCAGCTTCTCACACTCTCCCTGGTGAAGAGTCCACCTGGAGAGGGGCCAGCTACTCAGCAACCCTGCTCCCATCTGCCCCTGCTGCACGGTGCCCTCAATCCTGTTACCTCGAGATGAGACTTGAATTTGAACAGGGTCTCGTCTGGTGGATGAAATGCCTCTCTGGCATGTAGGAAGCCCTGGTTTGACCCCTAAGTCACATAAATCAGTGCTCTGGAGGAGATCAGAAGCTCACAGTCAAATCTGAGCATGGTCTGCAGGAGGCCACGTTGAAACAAACAAACAAAAAAAAATGGCCTTTGCGGAGGTAATCAAGCCGGGGGTCAGTTTCCCTTTTTTGACACCTCTCACTATGCAGCTCACACTGGCTTCACACTTGGAGTCTCCTGTCTCTGCTTCCTGAGTGCTGGGATTGCTGGCATATACCACCACACCCTGCTACATCATGGTTGCTCTAAGCAGGTGGTTCTCAACCTGCGGGTTGAGACCCCTTTGGGGAGGTCGAATGACCCTTTCACAGGGGTCACCTAAGACCATGGGAAAACACAGATATTTACATTATGATTCATAACAGTAGCAAAATTACAGTTAAGAAGTAGCAAAGAAAATAATTTTATGGTTGGGGGGGCGGTCAGTCACCACAACATGAGGAACTGTATTAAAGGGTCACAGCATTGGGAAGGTTGAGAACCATTGCTTTAAGGCATTCGGCATTTGGTCATTTATCATAGCAGCCTTAGGACCATAACAGTACTGTCGCTGCCCCCATTCCCCCTTTATGAAACAGGGTTTCACTGTGTGACCCTGGCTGGCCTGAGCCACCTCTGCTGGGCCCCAAGGTCACGTTCTAGAGCAAGGGATTCTTTTTGGTGAAATTATTAAGGCCACTCCACGTAGTTAAAAGGAGATTTATTTAATGGCGTAACTTACAAATTAAGGAATAGGTAGGTCGCGGAGTCTGGGGAAGGTGTATCACAGTCCAGCGGTGTTCTCTGGAGCTCTGCTCGGTCCACCTCTCCAGTCCAGGGTCCCGCAACAGAGAGAGCGCCCGCCGATCCAGATCTCGGGTCCCCAGGCGCCTCCCTTGGCCCCGCCTTGTAGGCGTGACAGTTGCCGAAGTCTCAATGGGGGTTGGAACTTCCAGATCAAAGCTGGAATGGCTACCCACTACAGATTCTTGCTGATAGGGAGATCGCTTTGTCCTCAACACAAACCATCCTGTATCCTAGTTTGTCAAATAGACCACATTACCCTGTACCCGGGCCTGTCAGAGCATAATCATCAGCCAGGCTATTTGTTTTCTGCAACCGTCCGTTCAAATTCTGATTCTATCGTGTGCTATGGACTAGAGTCCTAACCATGTCAAAGTCCAGTTCCCAGAATGTAAAGCAGGGACAGGGTCTTATTTAGGGTTTCTGCTGCTATGATAAACACCCTGACCAAAAGCAACTTGGGTAGGAAAGGGCTTATTTCATCTTACGCCGCCACATTACAGCCGTCACTGAAGGAAGTTGGGGTAGGCCGTCGATGAACACTGTTTACTGGCTTGCTCTTGGTGGCTGGCTTAGCTTGCTTTCTTATACAACTCAGGACCATCTGACCCGGGGGCACCCCTACCCCACTCCATGGGATCAACCCACCCACATCAGTCATCACTCAGCAAATGCTCCCCAGGCTTGCCCACAGGCCAGTCTGGTGAGAGTGCTTTCTCAACTGATGTTCCCTCCTCCCAAACGACCCCTGTTTGTGTCATGTTGGCGAAAAACTAACCAGCGCAGATAGAAACATCACCAATTACTTGGACAGTACCCTGCCGAGCTGGGCTTACGGAGAAATGGCAGTCAGGAGCCCAGCTGCTGCCTCCCTGGGCCTGTGCCAGATCTGTGTACACCCAGCCCAAGGACTTCCTGGAAGAGTGTGCCATCGCAATGAGGGTGTGTGCGTGGGGCCAGATAAACACAGCAAAGAAGTGCAGGGGGTGGGGAGATGTGCAGGGAATAGGAAGAGCCCACCTAGAGGTGCTTGGGTCCAGGAAGGCTTTCTCAGGTCAGAGGAGGCCTGAGGTCAAAAGAGAAGGGACAGGAGAGAGTCGGGCAGGCATTCTGGGCAGGGAAAACAGTGTGCAAGGGCCCGGGCACAGGGTAATGTGGTCTATTTGACAAGCTAGGATCCGGGGTGGTTTGTGCTGAGGACCGAGAGATCTCTTCACAGCAGGGATCCCTTGCTCTAGAACATGACCTTGGGTCTCAGGGCATCACTGGGAGGTGTTGGTAGGACTGTTGTCTTTTGAGACAGAATTTCATGTAGCCCAGGCTGTCATCGAACTCCCAGAGTAACTGGGGATAACCTTGAATTCGGATCCTCTGCCTTTACTTCCCAAGTGCTGGGATCACGAGTGTGTGCCACCATGACCTCTGGGTGCTTTGAAGCAAATTCATATTAGCACACCCAATTAATGAGTTGCTCCTTAGACAGTGCCTCATTTTGTATTCTAGACCAGCAGACTCTTCATGCCACTTGGGGTATTTTCCATCCATTGGGTTGTAGGTGGGAGGTGAAGTAGAGGGCCAGGATTCTCCAGCTGGGAGCGTCTGGCATCCAGAGGCTTGTGTCTGGATGACGTCCACCTGACGCTGACCTCCCTGCTTCTGGAGTCCCATAGCCCTGGAAAGCAGAGCCAAGACTTGGCTTACATGGGAGCCTGTCAGACTCTGTGGATGCTGGGATGGACCAAGAAGACACCTTACTCTCCTCCAGAACTACTAATTGATATCGGAATTTCCCCTGGGGCCCAGGCCTTCGACACCTGAAGACAGGCAAAGCTGAAACATGCAGGTGCTTCCTGCATGAGCTCCGGCTAAAAAGTATTCACCCCATATTCCTCACCTTGAGCCAAACACTCCACACCATCCCCCCAGCTCCAGAAGCAGGCAGCCCAGACGTAGGATTAGAACCTACCTCCGTGTGCCCCAAAGCCTGGGCACACAGGCACCAGCTTCTCAGCCTCATTTGCACCCTTCTTGACCAGCACATTTCAAGTGTTTTGTCTGGAAGCAGGTGAGCAGGCTGAAAGGAGGGGGAACAGTCAGTGTGTTCGACTTTCCTCGGCTGCCTCACTCCTCATACTTCTGGCCCTGAACGCTTCCTCCAGTGGAGGGCTTGATGAAGTCTCTTGCAGAACCAAGTGGGATCAGATCAAGCGAGACCCTGCTGAGCCTGGCCCCCGATGAGTTTCTGGCTCCCTCCCTCATGCTCTTCTGAGACCCAGCCTAAAATGACATCATGTCTGATGTCCCTAGTCGTGTGACTTCCTAAAAGTCTTCAGAGGCTTCCAGAAAGTGTCCCTTCTTGTCTGGCTCCTGCTGACTCTAGTGTTTCTGGGGTTTTGATGGGAGCCCAGTACTTGGAAGGAAGAGCAAAGCCAACATGTGCCTGTTCTTTGGTACCAGAACTTCCTGTGGAAGCCCGGTCGGTCCTTCTGTACAATGCAGTATGGTATGGGCCCCTTTGTCTTGCTAAACTCCTGAACACCGTGATGACTCCCCTTCCACATGACATGTTCTTGTGCTCATCTACCCCACAGGCAGCCTTGAGCCCCGAGTCCCCACTCTTCTGTCCAGGTGCTAACAGCCAATTTACTCAACAGTTATTCTATCAACCCTAACCCTTCCCCATAAAAGGGACCCCAAAAGCCAGTGAGGGGCTGCTCTCGGAAACCCCGACTCGGGGAGGCAGTCGTCTGGCCAGGCCCTTGTGCACTGCTAAATACAGCTTGCTTTAATCTGACACTGTGGAAATGCCCCCCCCCCCCCACCTCAGGTCTACCATTCCCTCCTTGAATCTCTACTTCCCTCACTGATGAACCATGACATGGAAGTGTAACCCACATAATCCCTTTCTTTCCGAGTTTGCTTTTGGTCAAGGTGTTTCATTACAGCAATGGAAATTTAACTAAGACAACACACAAGATGTTTTCTGGAAGCTTTAAACCCGCTACTGGGCTGGAGATGTAGCTGTCAGGAGAACACTTGCTTAGCATACTCGAAGCGCTAGACCCACGTTCCATCCCTAGTACCATGTAAACCAGGCATGATGGCACACAAGTAACTCCAGTAAATGAGAGATGGAGACAGGAGGGTCGGAAGTTCAAGGTCATCCTTGACTACATAGAGAGTTTGAAGTCAATCTGAGCTACATAAGACCTTGTCTCAAAAAACAAAATAAAACAAAACAGAGAAACTAAAACATAACTCAGCTCCTGAGGCTGGGAGCTGAGTCCGGGGAGATGACGGAGGCAGGCCGTGGAAGCCCTGGGAAGGCTCTGAGTGTGCCGGCTTCTCAGCTCCTCCCCACTGCTCGGTGCTGATGTGAGTCACGGTTCTCAGGCAGGATGACCTGCTGATTCATCCCAGAAGATCGGGAAACATTTCCCCTCCCTCATCTCCTTTGAAAAGCACCTTGTCTATTCTCAGCAGCTGTGTTTGCTTTGGGCCAGTGAAGCCTCTGTGTGTGTGTGTGTGTGTGTGTGTGTGTGTGTGTGTGTGTGTGAACTGTAGTACATTATTCAGGACTAGTAAAATGTTGCAAAGGACAGAATCAGAACTAAATTGTCTTATATGAAAACAATGTATCTTGTATGTCATGGGGAGTTGGCCATGGGGTATCTTGAGGCATGGCTGGATCCAGGGTTCTGGCAGCAACGCTAAGATCTGTACTTCCTCCAGGGGCCTGTCTCCACATGCTGAGTGAGTCCTTCAAGCTCCCAGATTGATTCCCTCCTACCGGCCTAAGAGAGAACGCCCTTGCTCAGAAGCTCAGGTGAGAGTCTCAGGGAACAGTTTTACTAGCTGAATTTGGATCCCATACCCATGGATTAGGTGATCCAGAAAGCCATGCCATCATCGGCCAGTTGTGACTGCATGCAAGGTAAAAGCCATGCCATCATCGGCCAGCTGTGGCTGCATGCAGGATGTGGCAGGAGAGCCTGGGTTGGGCCCAGGAAGGAGGAACACTTCACAACTAAGGTCAGTGACTCAGGGATCCCCAGGTTTCCAGAAGGGTAGAGGTGGGCTGGAAAGGGCTCATGGGAGGTATTGGGGGGTGGCTTCTATCTGGCCGAGGCCTGTCCCCTAGAAGAAGGTCTCAAATCCTAATTTCATCAAACTGGAAAAGTCATCTCTCTCTCAAATGCCAAGAAACTAGCTCACACCGTTTGTGGGGACGAGTTCTACATCTGAGACTGTCCTCCACTGCCCTTGTCTCGGAAACCACTGGGGACTTGATTAGGAACCTGGCAGCTGGAGACAGCTCCTGAGTTCAAATCCCACCCTCTGCCCTGATGACCTGTGTGACTGTGGGCTTGTTTCTCAAACGCTCTGTGCCTGTGTTCTTTTATCTGGAAACACACACACACACACACACACACACACACACACACACACACACACACACACAGAGGGATCCTGAGATTTCCTGCCTCCTGTGACTACCTCAAGGATTCAATGAGGCTCCCAGAGCTGGGTGACCTGTGTGTGTGTGGAGGCTGAGATCCAGCTCAGCGGGCTGACTCCCAGTTCTGGGCTTTGTTGTGGAATATTATTTTAAGATGTGTTACATTCATTTATGCTGTGGAACATTTGTTTAATGATGCAAAGATGTGTTGCATTCTTTTATGTTGCATTTGTTTAACTCTGTGGAGCTGTGTTACTGTGCCTGTCTAACACCTGATGGTCTAATAAAGAGCTGAACGGCCAATAGCAAGGCAGGAGAGAGAAATAGGCAGGGCTGGCAGGCAGAGAGGATATAGAGAAGAAAAAAAGCACGAGCGATCAAGGAGCAAGACAAGGAGGAGGACTCCAGGCGCCAGCCACCCAGCTACACAGCCAGGCACGGAGTAAGAAGTAAAGAAAAGGTATACAGAAACAGATAAGGGTAAGAGCCTAGAGGCAAAAGGTAGATGGGATAATTTAAGAAAAGCTGGCTAGAAAAAAGCCAAGCTAAGGCCAGGCATTTGTAAGTAAGAAGAAGCCTCCATGTGTGATTTATGAGAGCTGGGTGATGGGCCCCCCAAAAGAGCTGGGAGCCATAAGAGCAAAGAAAGCAGCAGCTACAGGGCTCCCTGTTGGGGCGGCAGGGGCTTGCCGAGGGCATACACGGATGGTCAGAAGGGAGCCCATGCTGACTCTGAACCACTGAGGGGTCCTGTCTACTCCCACATGGGGGAGCTCAGGCCTTCTGTCCTGGACTCAGTTCCCCAGCAGCAGATCTGGGTGACATTAGGCTGTGACACACCATTGTGATGCCTGGCCACTGTGACCTTCAAAGACTTGCACTGTTCCTGCTTCTCCTCTGTGCCCCAGGCTCCTTTCTCTTCTGGCCAGCTCTAACTGGGAACCACACAAGGACAATTTGGGAATACGATCTGCTCAGTTTATATGAAGCAGCACTGCACAGTTCACCCAGTTGTCTGCCCACTTCCTGGTCCTATTGTCCACAGCTGGGCTGCTGTGCACCTTGGCTTCCGCTCTGTGACTCTCATCCGCTACAGCTCTGTCCTTTGCATGCTGCTCTGAGTGTGCAGAGGGTCATGATGGGACTCAGGCTCCTGGTTTATTTGGAGCTGGATTTTGAGCAGGGTCTTCCTATTAGTTCAGGCTGGCCCTAGATTCATGATTCTCCTGCTTCTTTTCTTTCTTTTGTTTTTGTTTTTGTTTTTGTTTTTGTTTTTTCGAGACAGGGTTTCTCTGTGTAGCTTTGGAGCCTGTCCTGGATCTCACTGTAGCCCAGACTAGCCTCGAACTCACAGAGATCCACCTGCCTCCGCCTCCCGAGTGCTGGGATTAAAGGCCTGTGTAGTGGGTAGCCATTCCAACCTTGATCTGGAAGTTCCAACCCCCATTGAGGCTTTGGTAACTGTCATGCCTACAAGGCAGGGCCAAGAGAGGACCTTGAAGACTGGAGATCCAGATGCTCCATCTCTCTTGATTCCTGGACCCTGGATGCTGGAGGTAGACCGAGCAGAGTTCTCCAGACAACACCGCCGGACTGCGCTGCGTCTTTCCCAGACCCCGCGACCTACCTATCCCTTCATTTGTAAGTTACGCCACTAAATAAATCTCCCTTTTAACTACGTGGAGTGACCTTAATAATTTCACCAATAGGTGTGCGCCACCACTGCCTGGCGATTCTCTTGCTTCTTGTTCTAAGGGCTGGGATTACAGGCCTGTGGGATCCTGCCTGGCTGAACCCAGCTCCTGCCTCCACACCATTCCTCTTTGACACCCCCTTTCCCTCCCCTCCTGTTCCTCTCCTCCCTTCTTTTCCTCCCCCCTCCCCACTCTTCCTCCTCTTCTACTCTCTCCCCTCCTCCTCTTTCCCACTCTCCTGCTTCTTCCTCTTCCTTCTTCTGAGGCAAGGGTCTCCTCTGGCCCAGGCCATTTTAGAACTCACCATATAGCCATGAAAGACCTTGAGCTCTTGATCTTCCTGTCTCTACCTCCCAAGTACTGAATTACAGATGTGCACCACCATGCCTGGTCTATGCAGGGCTGGGATTACAGATGTGCACCACCATGCCTGGTCTATACAGTGTTAGGATTACAGATGTGCACTACCATGCCTGGTCTATATAGTGCTGGGGTTACAGATGTGCACCACCATGCCTGGTCTATACAGTGCTGGGATTACAGATGTGCACCACGATGCCTGGTCTATACAGTGTTAGGATTACAGATGTGCACTACCATGCCTGGTCTATGCAGTGCTGGGATTACAGATGTGCACCACGATGCCTGGTCTATACAGTGCTGGGATTACAGATGTGCACCACCATGCCTGGTTTATAAGATGCTGAGACTAAACCTAGGATATTACACATGTGTGACAAGCACTCTACCCATGGCCTCATCCGTCTCTCTTTTGGTTTTCTGAGACAGCCTCATTGTTACTTAAACTAGCTTTGAACTCACACCAATCCTCCTGCTTCAGCTTCCTGAGTGCTCAGATGACCAGTGTGTGCCACCACTGGCTGCTTCAGGCTAATCTGCAGGGTCACAAGCACGGGTTCTATCTGGGAGAATTTGCATGTGGGTCACTAGGCCAGCCCAGGTGAGGTATGAGGAAATTGGCACTGGCCTTGATGGGAAGGGTTGCCAAATACTGTGGTCATGTTTTTCAATCTGTCATGTTTCCTTCCTTAAGAAAGATCCTGTCATATGTAGAACAGTTGTGATAAATATATAAATGTTTAGTGGTAGTGAGAGTAAAAAAAAAAAACCCTGGTTAAGTGCTATTTACAACCCGCTGTGGTGAATCCATCTGCTCTCAAATGCCCCACTGTAGCAGCGATCTGTTGTTGTTGTTGTTGTTATTATTATTATTATTATTATTATTATTATTATTGGTTTTTCAAGGCAGGGTCTCACTATGTAGCTCTGGCTGTCCTGGAACTCACTCTGTAGACCAGGCTAGCCTTGAACTCAGAGATCTACCTGCCTCTGCCTCCTGGGTGCTGGGATTAAAGGCATGTGCCACTACTATTCTGTTGCAACCTGTTATTTTTGAATGTCCAGCATCCCTTCTGGGACAGTAGCTACCCGTGTCCCCTTGCATTATAGTGGGCTGGCTGCCCTTTCAAACTCAAGGGTGGCATGTGATCAGGAATTTGGTCCCTGTCTCTATAGAGACTGGGCAGGGATATAGGCACATGGCTCACATAGGACCAATAAGACTTTTGCTGGGACAGTTGGGAAATAAAGGTTCTTCCCATGAGAATGCCCAGCTCACTGGGGCATACCTGGGGTTGCTGGGGACAATCTTGACAGTCACAGGGGAAAGGCTTGCCTGAGAATGAGATAGCAAGAGATGGAGAGAGCTGGGAGTGCTGGTGTGTGCCACCATAGAGGGTCCAACTTCTCATGTTTGGATTAGGCATTCTGAAAAGCCCACAGGAAAGTGATGGTTTTAAGTAACCAATCCTGAAAGATGATCCTATTTTATTTATTTTTGGGAGAAGAGAAAAGGGAGGGGAGGGAAGGAGAGAGAGGAGAAGACAGGGATTGGAGTAGAGGAGGAATGGGAGGAGAGGGGAGGGGAGGAGGAAAGGGAGGGGAGAGGAGGGGAGAGAAAGGGAGGGGAGGGGAGGGGAGAGAAAGGGAGGGGAGGGGAGGGGAGAGAAAGGGAGGGGAGGGGAGGGGAGAGAAAGGGAGGGGAGGAGAGGGGAGAGAAAGGGAGGGGAGGAAGGGTTCAGTTTGAGCTAGGAGGATCAGACCACGTTTCCTTGCAATCTTACAGCTACTAGAACATTCATTACTATGTGGCTAATAGATAATACAATCCAGAAATGTCTTCCTTAGGGGCTTTAGGTAACTATTTCTCTCTCCTGCAGATCCACCTTCCTGATAGCTCAGCCTTTTTAGATTCAAGGGTAAGCTCCTAGTCACAGGGCACATAGGCTACCACAAAGCCCAGGCTTTGAATAAGAAGCCACGTCTGTGCTGGACCTTCAGAAAGCTGAGCCTGCTTTGTTTGCTTCTGAGATGGATAGCATCAAGTGTGGAGAGTTAGAATGTTGCCAGTTCAAAGGGAATTATAGTGGGCTATTATAGCTTTCTGAATACCATCCTCTGGGTACTGCATAACATGATTGTAACTAATACTCAAAACAATGGAATTACTTTAAAAAGATCTATCTAGGCAACCCTACTAAGATACATTTTTATTCTCTGCCTTCCCCCATAAACCTCTAAAGTTAAAAACTTTAATCTTCCAGGGCTTCCCTCCTCCAGTGGGTACTGGTACCTGTAGTATTGCAGAGAGGGGCGTCTGACTGGTCTCTAGGTCAAACTTAACAGGAGAGGAGATGGTGTGCTAAAGAAGTGGGGTGGTGGTGGTGCACACCTTTAATCCCAGCACTCGGGAGGCAGAGCCAGGCAAATCTCTGTGAGTTCAAGGCCAGCCTGGGCTACAGAGTGAGTTCCAGGAAAGGCACAAAGCTACCCAGAGAAACCTTGTCTCGAAAAACCAAAAAAAAAAAAAAAAAAAAAAAACCAACAACAACAACAAAAACAAGTGGGGACAGTCACGTCCATCTTCACAGGAGGCGGGACAGCATGGGCTTAAGCTTGGAAGTCAGATGAACCAGGGCCTCCCACCCAGGAAGCAGGTTTGGCATCACAGCCTGGAGTGTGTGTGCTCGGAAAGTTTTGCAGCTGACTGTTTATTCTAGGTCTCCAGGGGCCAGTGAGCAGGCAGTGGTCCGCCCAGCGTCTCCTGTGGCTGAAAGTGCTTACTGCCAAGCCTGATGATCTGATTTTGATCCCTGGGACCCACATGGTGGAAGTGTAATGATAGAGCACAGGAGGCCTTGATGGGTTTTGGAGCCATGGTGTCCTGCAGTGGGTGAGACACACCATGCAGGCAGTGACAGTGGAAAATTACACTGCAGACAAGATGTTCATGTAGCAAGTTTATTTCGGGGGGAGGGTAGAGAGAATGGAAGAAAGGAGAAAGGAGAGAGAGAGAGAGAGAGAGAGAGAGAGAGAGAGAGAGAGAGAGAGAGAGAGAGAGAGAGGTGTGTGCTACTTCTGGTGAGGAGGGAGGGGTTTTTTCCTCTTAAGAGGGCTTTAACAAAAGATGACATCAGGACACTGGGTGGGTCCCCAAGGGACAGGTCCTCCATTTTAATTATTATAAAAAGGTGAAATAATTATTATAAAAATTATTATAAAAAGGTTATGGATAGCAAATTAGGGAACAAGGTTGCTGAATTCCCAAGATTGCTTCCTGCTGATTTGGGGGCAAAGTGGGAGGGGGAATTTGGGAGTCGGGGTTACGCATGTCAGGAGGTGTGGATGAAGAAGCATCATCATGGAGTCCTCGGGCATCTGTTCCTTGAGGGAGCTGAGAAGGCAGGTTTCAGCAGGGATGTTCAGAAGCTTGGGGAAACAGCACACCAAATCAGGAGTACAGGAGCCATCCCATCTGCTGTTCCTCTGGAGGTGGAAATGCCTCTATTCATCCTGTAAAAGTGTCAATGAATTTGGAGATGACAGAGTTTTTATGAGTGGGCATGTATTCACCTGGTTGGCGTCCTTGGCTGGTGGTTAGGATCCTCAGAGCTGGTGCAGGGGCTGGAGGTGTATCTGAAGAGCCCCTGAGGGTTAGTCTTGGCACAAGTCTGGCAGGAGGGGTGGACCTGTGTAGGGACCTGTAAGTGTATAAAACCGAAACAGATTTACATCTTGGTGTCATAGCAAAAGGCTATGGCTTTGGGTTAAAAGGCATGAAAGTTTTTTAGAGCCTGGTTTCAGCCCAATGAAACATATCTTTAATTCTATAACCAGAGGAAATTTACTGAATGGAAGTGGTTGAGTGAGTGAAGGAGGAGGGAGGCTTCCCTATAAACATCACCAGATCTGAGAAGGATATGTAAGTGAACAGAAGTGAGACAGCTTTCCTATACTCATATAAACAAACCTTAAAGCTGTTTCTTTTATCTAATTCTCCAGGAGATACTGAGAGCAGTCAATAGTAAAAAGTTACATTGAATTCTGTTCTGTGAGTTTATCTGATCTGGTAACAAGGTAAGTTGTGTCTAGACCTAGTAGTAGCCCTAGGAGAGGGAGACCTGTGAGTTTTACATAGAGAACTAAGAAGGCAGCTGAAGCAAAGCCTGGTCATCAAATGGAATCAGAGATCTGAGAAGGATAAATCATACCTGAGTGCAGACCAAGCAGCTTTAGAATCTATTAAAGATGACAGGGACCAGTCCATACCCAGTTAGCCATACCCAGGTCTCCACATTGTTGGAGGCAGAAGTATCAGAACAGCATCAACTTCAGCCACCAGGCCCATAAGGTGGGAGTTTTTCCCATGGAAGAGGGACATAGGGAAGACTGATCTTGCTTTGTCTAGGCAAAAGGGGTTCAATAAATTCTCTGATGTCCTGCTGTTTGTCCACAGTCTGGCCCGGGTCCTGGTGGCAGGTGTCACATTGGGGCATCTTGTCCAGAGGTCAGCGTTGCCATAATCCAGGTGGAGACATCATGATGCCTCGTAATCTTCGGAGACCTTGGGTCACTGTTAGGATCTGGGAGTCTCTGTCTGATATAATAAGCTTTTTGATCAACA